GGGAAAGACGGGTTGAATTAGTTTAAAGCACTCGTTTCACAGACCTTTTAATGTGTGATTCCGGTTTGGATGTTGTCTAATAAAGGTGAAGCCTATAGTGATAACCCCGATGTGGCTACGCTTTCTTAAACCTTTAGTTGGTAAAGTTTTCTGTTTGTTTTCTTTTGTTGTAAAGAAAAAGCAAAAATAAAACCAACCTCCCGCAGAAAGCAAAACTGCAGTGTATTTAATGGAAAGCCAGTATTATTCACTTGAAACTAGAGTGGCATGCCTGAGTCAGTGAAGTATGAGCTAAGAATCTGGCAAAAGCCTTTAGCACAAAGGAAGGCTGAAAGTCTCTCAGGAAGCCTGCGTGCTGCTAAATGTGGCACGTTTGAACATGAGACTGACATCATTGTGAGTTCATAGTAGTGAAAGAACAAAGTATCAGCCACAAATTAGACTGACCTAATTTTTAAGTCACTTCTAAAAACTTAATAACACAGTATGTTGCTTGTGCAAGCTGTTTATTTCCAGCTCAGTCTCTTGCTACTTAATTTAAACTACAAGTTAGCCCTCTAAAATGTCAAAGGAGTTGTTCAAGAAGGTGTTTGTGTTTGAGGGGTTCTCCAAACTTCCTTCCTTGGCTCTTTTTCCACCCTGACCTCAGCCTTCAGCTAAAGGAAGTGATTAAGGACCACCCATCATATACCTTTATCCTTTAGGATCAGTTTCCTGGAGGTACAAGCTTAGGATTGCATACCAAAACCTAACTCAGTCATATGGGCTGCTCATGGACAAGTTTCTTAGTGCAACTCTGGCTGCAAATTGTCAGAACACTTGCCATAAGTATCAACAGGAATGTATTTATGGTCAATAAGGTGTTAAAAGTGATCAATATTTCTTACTGGTGAATCCACGATCACTGAAGTAAATAGTGCTTCTTCCATTGCTGAACTCCTAATAAAAGGGCCATGCATTTTGAAGGTGGTATCCTCCCTTCTAAGTGTTCATTAGATACGATACATTACTTCAGTTACTGCAGGAGTACATTGAACCCTCTTAGTTTGGGATTCCTTTGGCAAAATTTCTTTTCTGGTTACTACAGGAAGGACTTTATAAATCAGAGCATTTCTCTAGAAATTCTGGATAAGTATAAAATGTCCATATTGCTTTTCTCTGCTTTTCAAAAACCTGTAGGAGGCCAATGCTACAGGACATTTCTTGATTTCTTAGCACTGCTGCAGGCCTTGTTACAGCATGACTCAAATTCACAAAAATGCTTAAGATCCCATGGGAATGAACTACCAGAAGGCATGATGTGCAGGATGACCCAGTGAGCTGCCATCAGTTGTGCTTTTGATCTTGAACTGGGCTGTTTCATCCCATGTTACGTTGCCAGTGTGTGCTATCAGAAGTACACTGTGGCAATCAGCTTGGTTCCCGATCCATGTCTAGTTTGTTTTCTGCACCTCACTTGCAGTTCTGTTTTACTCCTTGTCTGGCTTCACACTTTCCTACCCCACACAGCCTGTGAGCACTGAAAAGGCCTGATTGCTGGAAACTGTTCCACCGTGCTGGCTGTGAGCACTCATCCTATGCCATGTACCTCTGGGGTCCCTCTTAGGGAGAAACCTGGTTAAGCTGATCTGCTTTACTGCATAGGGCTGAGCTCATGTTTGCATTTAGATGTTTTGTGGGGCCCAGCATTCCTGCCAGTGGCTGCCCCTTGGGAGCTGCAAGCACGTGACTGCTGTGGTACATCTTGTAGGGTTCTTTTCTGTGTTTTTATCCCTGTATAGCAAACATTGTATAAAATATTAACTTGACTTTGAGCTTGCAGTGATTTTTGGCGTGAATTTGAGAATAGTTTTAACACTGACTAGGTAAACTGGTAGATGCTTCTCTATACTGCTGACAGGACATGCAGGCATTTCCAGGCACAAGTGGGAAGAAACAAAGTATTAATGTTGACAGTTTAAAAAAAAAAAAAAATTCCTTCCAAACTTTCTCATGCCCCGATGTGAACGGGTTGCATGCGCATGTTGCCTTCCGGGAGAACTGGTGTCATTTCCTCAAATGGGTGAAAAGCCATTGCATTTTAACCCGTAGCTTACCATAAAAGCAGTTTACATGGCTCTTGTCCTTACAGGAGGTTGACTCACTGTGAGCTTTAGTCATTTGGTTTTAAAGAAGTGCCATTAAAAAGTCTGCTGTAAGAAACTTGCCTCTGCCTTGCCCAGGAGCTATTCTGATTTGTTTCTCTAATAAAATACCATCATTATCCTCTGCCTTTAATCTGTCCTGGTGCTTGTGTGGAGGCTTCAAATCTATCTTCTCTTTTTGTTGTATAGTGACCACTTAGCAGATCAGAATTGGGTTTTTTATTTTTTGCTCCTTTATTTACAGGTCTGTCTTAGTTAATCGCCTCTGCTGGAACATCTCCCCTTTAAAGCCTCTGCTAGATAAAAAACATTAAACTTAAAGGCTAACCATTATCTGAAGGCTCAGAGGTCCTGTCTTATCTTCTCTTACGGAAAGCTTTTTAAGGAAATAGCAAGAACTTTTAGAACTGCTAGGCATGATGTTTATTTAGCACTACTCTTCAGAGCACTCATTTGAATATTTTTCTTAGTACAGTGTGCTTATGTTGGTCTGTGTAGATGCAGAGAATGCTGCCAGTGATTCATGGCATGCAGGTGGTGTAGGAGATGGAAACCTTGTCATGAAAGTGGCTGCTGTAAACAAAGAGTGAGGAAACAGTGGGATCTCAACAACTTGAAGATTCAAAAAGCAATTTAACCCTATAAGGGGTTGAGTTTGTATCTTTGAATTGCCTGCTAAAATCCAGTTGCTGTCAGAGACCAGCAGGTGTGGAATTTGCCAGCTGCCACAGCTAATTGACGGATCCTGTGTGCAGGAACCAGATAGAGCTCATGTTGTGATTTGTAAGGATAGGTGACTGTCTTCCCAGTTTGAGTAAATTTGTAAACTTTTGCTCACTTAGCTCTGAGTCTGTTCAGACTATCTGTTCAGACTATGCAAAATAATGCAGCTGAGTTTTGAAGCTTGCTAGTGCTTGCTAGCACTTGCTGAACAGACTAACAGGTTTTATGCTAGAAGCTTCATACAAGAATAAACCTTCAGGGAAGGAGTGGTACCCGAGGTCCTTAGAAGGATGCTGTGGTGCTTGACTGCTCAGTCTCTCCTTGACTTTTGGCAAGTTTTTTTGGAGAGCCACAGCTCTGTAGCTGTGGGAGGAACACTCCTTGTAACTAAACTGGTTGGGTTCGTTCAGCTGCAGCTTAGGGAAGGCCCTGAGCAAGAAAGGAAAAAAGGCCTTCAACTTCTAATTCTGGAAAAGAAAAAAAGGGTATTTAAATAAGGCCTGGAGGACCATACTTGTCAGAAGTAAGTCAAAAGGCAGGTAATTCACCCTAATTTAAGGTATGTATATTTTCCTAAAGTCAGCAGAAAAAAATCCTCATCTCTAAATGATGAAAGACTTCTTTTTAAACTCTCTCCTAAATACGAATAGCTGAAGTTTCTCCTTTAAACTTGGGTGGCTCATTCATATTTCATTCAATTGTAATACAGCAACCTCTCTTTCCCTCCCCCCTCTTACCACCAAGGCTAAGAAGGAGGAGGGGAGATATAAAATGTTTCCGAAAATTACAGGAAATGTCTGTTCCTTTAACAGCATTGCCAGGGAATTTCCAAATATGCTTAATGCTTGTGGCTGAACTTGCAGCAGCTCCGTCTTCAATCATGAGTGGATTGTATTCTAAAAACATGACACCTCATTCCAGTAAAACACATTGAAATGAAATGTATGCTTTTTTTTCTCATCTGCTCTTCAGAATTAATCCTGCCATGTGGTGAAATGAGGGATTTGGGGGCTGCTTTAAATTCCTGATTTCTTTCTATTCAATAAAGAGGGGAAAAGTATTTTATTACTGCTTGAGGTGGTAGTTAGCATGGCATATATCCCATCGAGCCAGAGGCTGGGCAGCAAGCTGCAGATACCTGCCTGGAGGGCTCTGGCCTGGTGTTCTGCTGTTTGCATTGGCAAGGTACCTGAAGACAGAAAAGTGCTTCTTGTAGCTTCTTTCCCTGCAAGGTGACATTAGTATAGAATCTGTTCAGCAACTCTCTACCCTGTGCAGCAGTGGCTCTGCACAGTTGTGATATCATTTGCTATGAAAGCCACTCCTGGGTTTCATAATATGGCAGTGCTTGGCAATAGTTTGTTAGTGTGGTTCATATTACAGTGATTAAATGAGGTTGTCATCTCTTGATAGTAATGATTTGAATCTTGCTTAACTGGCCAGGAAACAGTTTGGAATTGGCACTAATGTGTTTATTTTTACTTCCTCGTGTGAAGGTTGTAATTCAATTTGTTCATGTAGGAACAGCAAGTGCTTTTCGTGGAGTTTGTTTGGCTATGACTACATGAAACAATTGGTGACATCAGTGTTACCATTTTCCAGTGCTGGCTTTTTAATGTGTGGGGAGGTAGTGTTAACTAATGGAGTCCTGTTTTGTTAGACTTTGTTCATTCAAAATAAAGCTGTAATCAGACTGACAGCAATCTCCACTTTGCATACTGAGCAAGATTTTGTGAATTTGCCTGAACTCATGCAAATAGATCACCTACAGAGGCTAGTTACAAATTAGTTATCTAGCAGAGAGACATCACTTTTTTTCCTAAGGCTACCATTGATTGTTTTTGTTTTTTTAATTATTATTTTATAAGAGTCTATACTTTTTAATGCTTGTAGAGATGCTTGCTTTGTTTTTTTTTCATTGTTTTTATTTTTTTATTTTTTAGAAAACAGAACAAAATTTTTGATTTCAAATGTTACCCTTTTAAATTAGTGCTAGCAATTAGAGATCTCACCTAGGTTTTTAAGTTTTAAGTTAAGGTTTTAAGTTCAGGGGATTTCCACAGCAAATGACTGCACAAAGTATGATTTCCATTTTTTTCACTTGTAATAAGGATCTTTTTCTTCCTGTTTTAGGTGTTTCCTTCAGCTGGCCTTTGTATGCAGACCACCTTTTGTCCTCTTCAGCCCATTCAGAATTTGACTCAAGCGTGGGTGAGTAATTGCTTTTGACATGAGATAGTAATGAATTACGGACTGCAATAAAAACATTTCAGAATTTTTGGCTGATCTCACTTAGATGCCATATGGGAGAATAATCTTATAAAATCCATTGAAAGTTTTCCTGGTTGTCTAGTGTCCCAGGTGATAGGAAACGAAAAATGTTACATATTATAGCACTTCTTTGAAATGAATTAGCTAAGCTTTTCTTCTAGATGTCAGAGAGCTAAATGATGTCAATCAACAGTGGAAAAAGTATTTTGAAATAGAGCTTTGTGCTTGTATGGGTGGAGAAGAGTCCCCACATACAGTGTTTGAGCTGTTGAACAGAGTGATGTAATGTATCAACAGCATGTTCTGACATTTCTCATGAGCACATATTCTGTCAGCCAGGTTTCCCTGCTATAACATGAAATAAATGTTTATGATTCCACAATTCCACAATGTCAGACTGGTTGGCTTCTTGGCAAGTGCAAATGATGATAATCTGGCTCATTGTTTTGAGTTGGTGATGATGTATGAATAATTTGTGCAAGAGCATTGCACGTATTTGTGAAATATGTTGAGTAGGTCACCAGAATGTAGGTATTTTCTTTTTTCCTTTTTTCTTTTCAGAAGAACAGATTATCTTATTTCTATCACTATTATTTGTATAAAAAGCAATAGCTCACTAGTTTCTACGTGGAAATTCTATTTATCATGCTTAGCCTAGCTCTCTGAAAGTTCTGAAATGTCATGGAGCGATAGACGTAGAAACAAAGAACTTAAAAATCTAAACTGGAGGTGTATTTATGTACCCTACTCTTGGGAAACTGATTTCCTTTCTGTCTCTCGATGTCTCAGTTCTCTGAGGTGAGCACAATTAAATTGAGTGACTTTTCTTTAGAACTAGTAATCAAAACAGACTCAGTTAAGTACGATAAAAGATAATAGACCACTGAACAGAAAATTCTTCTTCATGTGTTTTTTCCACTGGATTATACTTGCCTTATTCATGAGAGTACAGTGTATAATCTAAAATGCATATGGCTACTGTTTCTGCAAGAAAATTATTACTGTCACGTTTTGGTTGTGTATACAGATCTGAAGAACAGATCCCTGGAAGAAAGACAGGAGGGAGAAGCCATCGTGATCATACAAAGAAACAAAAAGCAGGGTGATATTCTCAAAAGCGCTTCTCTTTTTTGAACATGGTACTTCAGTGGCATTTTCTAAGTAAATAAAAAAATGTGTACGTGAGAGGTGTCCTCAGTACACTCTGCCGTTGCACTAAAGTAGAGTGTGCTGGAGGAGGGAGAAGAAAAGTGTCATTGTTCTACCACTCCCAGCTGATCTGAGAAAATGATCTATGTAGAAGGTGGTGACATTTGCTTAAGTCAGCTGAACAGCTAAAAGACATCCTCAGTCTCCTCAGCTGATGAACATGAGCCCTTGCATCTTTATTAATAGGCTCATCTTTTAAATTACAAGTGTTTGTAATCTCTTTCCTGTGTGGTCTCTATAATGAGAAGCAAGACGTGTTTCTTGTGATCTGTTACATTTTTTTACTGAACTTCGCGCTTTATTGCACAGTTGTTGTCTTTGGAATGTATTAGCATGTTTGGTGAATTCAGGGGAAGTCCCTTACTTTTACTAGAAATCTTATTTCCCTTATGCTCCATAAACACTTTCTGTTTCTCACTACAGATAATCATCTGTATTGAGATCAAGGATGATCTCTCCCTGTCCTTGATGCTCACTCACTCTCTAGTAGCTTAAGTGACAAGCATCTTTTATTTCCATCTTTCTGAGGCTGGTGAGGCAGTGCTGAGGCATTGCTGAGATGTTGGAAGAAAAATGTCTTGTGAGTGGTAATTAACCCCTGTGACCCCTAGATTGGGAATTTCTCTCTGATGCAGGAGCTTGTGGGCCTATTTGCTCAGTATCACATGCAGTGAATGTTGTTGCTTGTAGGGGCACCAGCTATTGAACCACTGGCACCTCTCTGCTCAGTAAAACTGAAGCCCAGTATTTCTTTGGGAACAGCTGATGTGCCCACAGTGGTGTGTGTACTGCAGTTTAGAAACTCATACCTCTGTGTCTTGGTTCAGCTTTTGGTTTTCTTTTTGTGTTGGTGTCCATTTTGAGAAATACGAAAGTGAATCTGATTATAGGAAAGAATATTCTAGAGATATCTGTAAAGATACTGGGCAAGCATGGATCCGTCTCTTGCTTTATAGTGAGTTAAAGGTTTAATTTTCTTATTTAAAAGGGGTAAGAAACAGCGCTGTATACCTCAGTCCATGTGAATGAGGAAGAAGCCTTACAGTATCACTGATGTGTATATGGGTGACTTCATTCAGTATTCTCATAGCTGGGCTACGTTTCACTTTTTCTCAAAGCTGATTTCAGTGTAGAACATCCTGTGACTAAGATGGTTTCCTAGTTTGAAGATCAGCCACATAATGGCCAGGGCATTATATTGCATAATCTTATGAAGCCATGGTGTCAATACATACCATTGCAATCTAAATCACAAGTAGAGCACAGAAAGAAAACAGTCGAGAAATTGAGTTTGGCCTTTTTACAAACAATGATTGAAATGAAACAGATATTTCAACACCTCTTAACAGCTGGATGATAAAAGCAGTTGCCAGGAAAGGGAGGAGATCTCTAGTGTTTACTCAAAACGGGAGACTGCCAGTTTCTCTTGTTTAGATTGGTCCCAAGGAGGAGTCCAAAAGTCTGATAGTCCCAGAAATTGAGAGAGCAAAAACCTATAACTGAAATAGTGTTTTGACAGGATCAGCTTCATTGGGCAGGAGAGGAACAACATTTTTATCAACCAAGGTAATTTGAGATGACATTACTGTTAAGCTTATTACTTGCAAGCCATGGGCAGAGAAGCTTTCCACTGTTAATACATTGCTAAATGTTAAACTAATAGTGTTATTCGAGAGGACTTTTAACTGGTAGCCCACTTTCATTAGGAAACACGTTCTCTTACCTAGTAACCATAGTATGATAAAGTAATGGAATGGCATAGATCAGAAGGGACCTTAGCAATTATCTAGTCCCAACCCACCTGCCATGGGCAGGATTTCTACCCACTAGATCGGGTTGCCCAGGACCGTATCCAACCTGGCCTTGAACAACTTCAGAGATGGGGCATCCACAGTTTCTCTGGGAAACCTGTTCCAGGGTCTCATCACCCTGCTGAGTAAAATCTCTTCTTAACATCTGACCTAAATCTCCCCTCTTTTACTTTAAAGACATTCCCCCTTGTCGTATTACTATCAGACTGTGTAAAAAGTTGGTCTCCCTCCTGTTTATAAGCTGCCTTTAAGTACTGGAAGGACACAGTGAGATCTTCCTGGAGCCTTTTCCAGGCTGAACAAGCCCAGCTCTTTCAACTTTCTTTGTAGGAGAGGTGCTCCAGTCCTCTGATGATCTTTGTCACCCTACTCTGGACACACTCCAGCAGCTTTACATAATTCTAGTTCTGGGAGCCCTAAGCTTGGGTGCAGTAATGCAGGTGGGGCCTTATGAGGGCAGAACAGAGGTGTACAGTCACCTCCCTCACCCTTCTGGCCACCTGTCTTCTGATGCAGCCCAGGATGTAGTTTGCCAAGCTCAGAATGTACACTGTTGGCTTGCATCAGACTTTTCATCCATCAGAAAACACAAAGTCCTTCTTGACAGGGCTGCTCTTAATGAATTCTCCTACCAGTGTGTATACTTACATGGGACTGTCCTAACTCAGGTGCTGTACCTTGCCCTTGGCCTTGTTGAACCCCATTAGGTTCACATGGGCTCACTTCTCCAGCCTGTCCATGTCTCTCTGGATGGCTTCCCTTTCTTCTGTTGTATCAATTGTGCCACTCAGCTTAGTGTCATTAGCAAATCTGAGGGTGTACTCAATCACTGTGATAAAGATATTGAAGAGCACCCATCTCAGGGCATGCCCCTGGAGGCACCACTCATCACTGGCCTCCATTTGGACTTAAGTTCTTTTAAGGGATTTCTGAAACAAACTGAAATTATCATCCAAGAGGGAAGGGTGTGACAGCAAGCAAAAAGTGCTTAGGAGATAAAGAATATACCCAAGCTGAAAGTTGCAAATTATAGATTACATATTTCTAATAGCCTCCATTTTGATATTCTGTGGTTTCTAGATCCTCAGCTACTTTATTTTTCTTTTGTTACTTTAAGTCAGCATTTTACCCATCAAAACAAACTGTCTAGTTCATGAACAAACTGTCTAGCTCATAGAAGAGCTAGAGCCAATTCCCACTATAGCCAGTGGAAAAGTTTTCATTAATTTCAGTGGGTTTAGTATCTGGCAGCTTCTGATGCAATAAACATCCCCTCCCCCCCAGGAAAAAAAAAAAAAAGAAAAAAAGAAAAAGAAAGAAAAAAGAAAGAGAGAGATTCACAACTCATGACAGGGCATGTTAAGGAGAAACAAAAAAAAATGCAAAATGTTTTTTCTCTCTTTCCTTAAAATAAAAATATAACTATGGAGCTTCATTCTTTTTCTTTTTTTATTCCCCTGCATAATAGTGCAGTCTTTAGATACCTTTCTGCCTGTCTACAGAGAGCCCGAGGCTAGTAAATAATGGCTCCTTTTTGAAGAGGAGCACACTTTCCAATCAAGCTGTAAAGATAGGGGGTTAACTTAATAAGCTTAATTAAGGTTTGGGACAGTAAATTTTCCAATATGTTTTGTAGGTGAAAGCAACATACAAAAATTTCCTTGCTATATGCTGCCAATTATTGGAATAAGCTTAAAATCATTAGTGATACTGTAATAGTAGTAGTCGGGGCATTTAGATTATCACATTCTGTCAACCTCATGGTTGTTTATGTGAAACCTCATACTTTTCTTATATAGGTACATAAAACTCTGTGTTTGTTGAAATGTGCAATTAAGTTTGTTATCATTTTCCTGTTTAAAATTTATTTATTTATTGTGAAAGTGAAGTATTCTACTTGCTATAAACTTAATTTGTTTGAAAATTCATACATGTAGGTTTATATATTATCTCTGATAAATAAAATATCTGCTGATCTCAAATTTCTAATTGCTAAACACAATTGTCTTTTGCCGTAACAGGACTTTTAGTAAAAATTAAAATGAATGAAATCATTTTGAAGTGAAACAATAAGTCAACTCTACAAATAAAGTGCAAAAATTTTTAACTTGAGCCTGTTAAAGTGAGAATGGAAGATTCTGCATGTTTAAAATTTGTTTAAAAAATTCTTCACATGTACTTCTGTGTACATTAGGAATCCAGGAAAATGTCTCTTCCTGATATGCTCCTGTTTGCAAACGTGTCACTGCCTGAAGAAAGAGTGTCAGTGAATCAGATTTTTACCTTTGTGACTCAACTTTATTGAGTCACTTTACTTTGTTCCAGCCAGCAGAAGGCAAAGGTAGAGAAACTGCTTGGGTCTCAAGCTAGATAGTGTGGGCCACTGTTGACATATGACTTGCTGGAGTGTCTACTTTCTTGTGTGAAAGGTGTTGCATAGTTTTGCTGACCTAAAATCACTTCCCAGACAGGGAATGTTATGGTGTGAAACGCACAAACTTGGGAAATGTGGTTTCTTGGCTTTAGCCAGCTCTGACTTGAGCCCAGATTGTTCATTCCAAACCAAGCTGCCATACTAATGAGGTGAGGAACTCTTACCAGGCTAGTGCTTTGGTGTAAAGGCTTCCAACATGTAAGCACCACTACCTCAGCTGAAAAAGCCAGCACACTCGGCTGTCTTCTTTTGCAGGAGCTTAAGTAGCTGAATATGGGGCTTGTGCTCTGGAGCTGCAGTTTGTAGCCTTATATAGATGGCCGTGTGTAAATGTGCACAATTACACTGAGAATCCAAGTGCTGCTGAACTGGGAGGAAAGCCAGGTGACTTCTGCTTTCTATAGGTTCTCTAGCTCCAGCACAAAAAGCACTGAACTGGAAGGTAAGCCACTGTGGTGGCTGTTCCTCAGGTATATTCCTACAGAGATGTGTTCCATCTTGGGAGATTGTACAACCGAAGTCAGTACTATTATTAGATGATGAAATGTCTCAGGTGGTCTATTTACTGCTGTACTGCTGATGCCATTTAGGTTGAAGTGGTCAGGATCTAATTTCACAAAATGTTAGTTTGCTTCAGTTATTATTAGCATGTGTGAAAAATGCACTTCACGTAATGATCCCATGGGCTCAAGAAGGGCCAGAGACTGTGCCCAGTACCATACCTTGCAGCAGTGTATTTAAAAGGCCTTTGTTTCAAGTTTGGTGATTAATTCAAATAAAATATACATGTCCTGATGTACCATCTTATTTTTCTGGTTTCTCTTCAACCATATTCTCAGAAGAAAAACATGGATGTAGCTTGTTGTCCTTTCCTTCGTACAGTTTCAACTCTTACATTTGCAGTGCTGGTTTGCAAAATGCTTTCCAAGGCATTACATTTTAAAAATGTATTGTAAGGTTTTACAACTTCTTACTTAAATGGTGAAGTGCTGAAAAGCATCTAACTCATTCTGCTCTTGAAAGGAATAACAGATTTAGGGTAGTGTCTCTTAATTACATTCTAACAAGTCTTGTGAAGAGAGAGAGGTAATGGCAACAAAAGTCTGCAATTAAGGCAGAGTATGTTTCCTGAAATACAATAAAATTGTGAAGGCAAGATTGTTGGAATAGATTCAAACACTGTAGTTGTAAATTCTCTCTCTCAGATGTTTGGAATATTCAGCAGAGGGGAACTTTTCAGGAGTGTATTTATTATGTGGTACAGACTGCTGTGCAGTTAGCCTCAATGGTGAACATTTTGTTCTGCACGCTTCATAGCCTCATCTGGTTTGTGTTTTTTTTTTTTTTTTATCTTCCCCTTCTTGCAGGCTCTCAGTCCAGTGTAAAGATGATGGTTGGGAGCAAAGGTAAAGAATGATGTAATGCAGCGCCAGCCAGAAAGCATCTTTTGTGTGAACTGTGCAATGGCTACTCCAGTCATCTTCTGATGAATCAGATGTGAAGGGTTGCTCTGTGGAATGAGCCCTTTGTAACGGCACATCAACTGGAAGCAGGAGGAGACATTCAGCTGAAGAGCTCTTTCTGAAAATGGGTTTAACTTTTCTTTTGCCAGTCACTACCAGCATGACCTCATACACTTCTAGTACAATGCTGTGGCTAAGCCTTTGAGTACACAGCCATTACATCATCGCAGCAAATTAGAGAGGGAGGTGGTGAAAGAGGCCTCATTGTTGTCATGGCCGATGAGATGATCAGCACTCAACTCATTGTCGCCGAGAAGTTGGTGGCTTTGCTGGAGAGTGGTACTGAAAAATTGCTGCTGATTGACAGCCGCCCCTTTGTGGAATACAATACGTCCCACATCTTGGATGCCATCAATATCAACTGCTCGAAGCTTATGAAGCGGAGGCTGCAGCAGGACAAAGTTTTGATTACAGAGCTCATTCAGCATTCAGCAAAACACAAGGTAGGGGGTATTTTCATGTTATTCTTTCTATTTGTTTAAAAATGTGCCCAGAGAGCAACTTATTTCAGGCATTTTAGTTTGAGGAAAAAAAATATATATATATGGGGGAGGTTGAGTTTTGCAAAGACTTTACTGGATTTGACATACTGTCAGTTAACACTAAGTTTATCTTTGGTATACTTAGTAGCAGTGTCTAAATGACAGATTAACGTGTAGGGATCTTAAAATTAACGAGGGTTCTTGTAAATCGTGTAGATCGCAGTCCCTGAAGTGTATGCAGTGAATGCAGTAAACATTCACATTCTAAACCTTGAAGGATTCTTTGGGGCCTGTGGTGATGAGGATTGCTAGCAAGAGGTCATACAGTTCAGAAAGAAACTGTAGCTCTGTCAATCCTGGCTCTTGCTTCCTGTTCAAAGTGCTTTCAATGTGAATAGTTTGATGGATTTTTAAATAGAGTTATGAGCAAGAAGAAAATAACTAAGCTGTTTAAACATGATAACTATCTAGTGGTTTTTTTTAATATATCTTCAATCCATTGGTACTTGTTTCACATATTTTGGATGAGAGAAACAATTTGTGTACTACGTTCTTGCTTTCACGTATTAAAAGTTGAAGCCTTTTTCTTAGTTAGTGTGTTTTATACATATATACTCTTATTGATGGCTGAAATGGGTGTGGCTTTAGGCAATTTAAGGTCTCTTGTATTTATAAATGAAAAATAATGAAGTAGAAAATGAGATTGGATTTTCTTTTAAAAAAACTCATTTGTTATTGTTTGAAAAAAATAAACCACGCTGAAGGTAAAACATTTACAGATGACATAGTTATCTAATGGTTGAAATTTGCAGCGTATGCTTCAACTTAGAGCAAATAATCAATACAAAAACTCTTAAAGGAAGTACACTTGATCAGGAATAAAAAATAAATAGTTAATAATACAAATTGTTGTGCATACAGCCATGTGTGAAACCTATGTATCTAAAGTGCTGCATAGCAAACATACAGGAACCCTTAGCCTGTCTTCATGCAGATGATAATGTGGTGCTTTTTAAAATCATCTTCCTCTTCCCTGTCTTACCCTCAATTACTTATTTTTCAGATTGAAATTGATTGCAAGCAGGAAGTGGTAGTATATGACCAAAGCTCTAAAGATGTGACTTCTCTCTCACCTGACTGCTTTCTTACTGTGCTCCTGGGCAAACTGGAGAAGAATTTCATCTCTGTATATCTGCTTTCAGGTATGATTACCATGAGAAAAAAAGCTCTTGAATAAGGAAGGAAAAAGAGAGGGGGGGAAAAAAAAAAAAAGCTATTGTTATAGCTGTTAAGTACACAGTTTCGTGGACTATCCACAGCTTAATTTTCATGGTGGAAAAAAAATCAGCTCTAATCAATAAGAATTATGCAGAGGAGAGCATCCTAAAACTTCCCTTTCTTCTTCTCCTCTACGTCTGTAGATTAGTGTCATGAAACATTAGTTTGGTCATCCCCTGCTGGATTCCATGAAGAAGATGGTCAGGGTGTCTCCATCCTCACACTGTAGCTTCTGTAGAAAGGGATGGTACCAGAAAAAGGAGTGTATTGCAGCTCCCTAGTGCACAGTCTGGGCAAGCACCAGTTGTGCATCTCATAATGAATAGGAACTTTTTTTTTCTTATATCTAATGTATGGTAATTATCTGATTCAGTTCAAACTGAAGATGCAACTTAAAGTCATTGTGAGACCATAGTGTTCATTAGCTAGCAGAGGTGAATTTAGCCAGGTGCAGCTGGTAAAGGTTTGTTTGGGTGTTAGAGGGAGGGAAGAGGTCTAGTATGTTAAAGGCCTCCTTATTTTTATTTGAACATTTCAAATACATGTCTCTTAACAAAGATTAGATCTGAGTTTCCTTTTTGATTAAATAGATAGTGAAGGGGATGTTTATAAATGCAGAAACAGCGGATCGCTAAAGCTCTAAAGAGCTGATGATAGAGGAGAGGAAAAAAAAAAAAAGAAAAATGTAAATAAAGTGTTCACTACTGATTTATTACAGCTGAATGCTTTTTCCAGAAAATAAAACCAGTTAAGATGAATCTGTAGTAAAGTAACTAACTTAACACAACAGGATGAAGTGACAATAGTTTTTCTTCTCTTACAATGATTTTGTTCTGGCTTTTGTCTTTGGGTAATAAAGTAGCTTTCAGTATCATTTTTTAAAAAAATATCAATTAAAAAACTAGGTACTTAAACAAAAGACTTTTTGGAGTATGAGGTGAAGGAGGAAGTGCTAGATTCTAGGTTGTACAGTGGTCCTTGGAGTTTCTTAGTCTGTGGATAGAAAACTAAATAAAATGTGTAGTTTCAGTGACCTGATGACCAGTGCTCATAAACATTTATTGCTTATAATGAGAATAGGGGTCAATGCACTGTGTAAAAAGAAAAAAACGTTTGTACTTCAGTTTTCCCTAAGCCACTTGATTAGGTTTATTTAAAACAGTGACCATAAATAAATATTATGTAGTAGGAAAATATTTTTTGTTGTTGAATAAGCAGCAATTAATACATTTTTGAAATTCCTCCATCTGTTCTTCCTGCCTCCTCCTCCCATTACTGGGCATGCAGTAAGTTATTTTTTTTATTATTATTTACTTAGGTTTTGCATAAAGGTATGTTCAACCCTGAAGGTAGTTTTTCATCGAAGTAACTGATGTAAAGGTCTCAGGGGAACCCCTACCAATTAGTTTAAGCTTTTGATCTAACCTCATAAAAATATTTATAATCTGGTGAGGAACGTTCTCAGGAATTTCAATATTTGTTTTGATTCTTAATTTTTAACTGTGCACAAAATATTGAAATGTGGATGCTGGAGGCTTAACCTATTCCTATCACTGCATCTACTCTGCTGGATTAAATAAGTCCTGAAGATGGAGATGTGACAATCTTAACAATATTTAAGAACTGGATTTAGTTTTGTGAAGTCCTGTTCCTAGATACAGTATTTTTGCGATGTTTCTGCTTGCTCTGCAGAAACAGCTGAGAGGGATTACTGATTCTCTTTTGATGAATTAGCATTATTAAGGTGGGAAACTGCAAAAGCCTTGCGGGAAACATTCACATTCTGCTTTCCTAAATATATTTGCTCTTCCCTTCTCTTATCCTTGTTTGTTCCTACTTGTGCAAGTACAAATATCTTAATGACAGATACCTTTCAAACATTGCCTGTGGTGAGAATGAAGTGGAGAAATTTAAGGGGGTGTGTGTGTGTGTGTGTGTAGAAAATGTACTCTAAATGGGATTTCTGACTTTCTTGCCTTCCCTTCCTCCACCCCCAAAAAAACAAACAAACAAAAAAACAAAATAACAACAAAGCAGAAATTCTTACTTTCTATATTTCCAACCTAAGATTAAATATTATGATAGCCTAATACAAAAACACTCTGCTGGCTCTGAATTAAAACTTAATGTACTCGGGTGGATGTGGAGCAATGGTAAATGTTTAAGAGGAACTAGATAACCATTACAGGTAATTTAGTAGCACTGAAAGAGTTTCACTGAACTATGTAAGAATTTACTGCTGCAAGGACACCATATTTTGCCAGCAAACTATGAAAAACATATTTTCATTTTTTTGTCAGTCACTGATTTGCCACTTAGACTTGCTGTACCCCAGTATTCAGTAGCACTGAGAACAGCCCATACAGAAAATTTATATAAATAAGGCACCAGATTATAAAGCATCTGTGAAAAGGGGAGTTAAATAGACTTAGAAGCCTTTTGTGAGCTTCTAGATCTACCTGTGATATAAGTATGTATTTGATTGTATTTCACTGGATTCATGCCTTATTAAATAGTATAGACCTGATCTGCAGTTGTAATCAGGATTGCGTATACCTAAATACTGTTTGTAGAAAGCTTAATTTGTGATCAGAGATGAAGCTTCCATGCTTCAGTGGATGAATCTAAGACTGCTGGGAAAGGACAACTGGTCTCACATCCACATCAGATGGGAGTTGTCTTGAAAAGGAGTCCATGGACTTCTGCAGACTTTACTGCTTACTACACAGGTTATTTTTGTAGTTGAAAAAATCAATAGCAAAGAATAGCAGGTTTTCTAGGTGAGCAGTGTGAAGGCCATATGTGACTCACAGATCACGGAGTCAGGGAGGTGTACACCACCATTCTGAAACCTCTGTTGGATGTGGGTGCCATCACCCCATAAAAGAGTTGCACTGACCGGCAATAGAAATTCAAGAGGTGAATTGTCTACTAATCTCTGCTACAGTTCTGCTTTTGAAAACTGTGAGCAATTAAATGATTTAATGGATTTTGCTTTCACAAGACTTCTCTGATAAGCTTTTACAGAGCACAAAGCTGCTGTGATAAGCAGAAAGGCATTAATTATTAATTTTGCATTCAGCAATGAATGCTGATGACATACAGTGGTCAATGAAGTTATAAATGCATGAGTATGAAAAGAAAAAGCAAATAGAATGAGTTCAGTGAGACTGGACAAAGGTCCTGAAAACAAAATAGCGAGAGATCAGCCAGGGACTGTTGCAAGCGGTGTTTTAGTTGAAACCCCAAATTACTGTTTCCCTATGATTTGCCCCTCTCTAACAGCGTGTGTACAAAGTGGTAGACTAGCACGGAGGATGCAGAGAAGGAAATAAGTGAAAGAGCTCTTTTACAGTTCTGTTTATGCTGGCATTTTTCTTAAAAATATTTGAAATCATAAGTTGATGTGAAGGAGTCCTAATGCAGTAATGTCAATATCTCCAGGGTATGTTTACCATAGTATTTTCTCTACTTACCTAAAGCAAAGCTAAATGGAAAAGAAAGCACAGTGCTCTCTCTCCCTGCTTTCTCACTGGAAGAACTATGTGTTGTGGCAGAGGAGGAGAAAATCTTAAGGATATTCTTTTATAGGTAGGGTTAGTCATTTCCATCTCTTGAAGCAAGCAGGGTTGAAAAGCTGAGCTTTTCTCCCTACTTCTGCAAACCCAAGTGCCAGGTAGGAGGGTACCTTGTGTGAACTAAAAGATGATGTGAGTTAGTTGCAGTTTCTTTGACTGGTATACTTCTAACACCCTAGCATTTATTAACATTTGGAATTGGAGTTTATAATAATCTTTGGTTGTGGCTCAAGTTGTGAGCAAGTCTTTGGAGCATTCCTCGGAGAGAAGAGCACATCCCCAAATTAACATATTCAAGTTATCTGCACATTGGAATAATAATAGGGAGCACAAGCAGTTAAATATCCCGCTGACCTTCAAAGGAAGAAGAGATGTCAGGTTTCCTTGTACTCTGTTGATGCCATTAGAAGCAAGTCTAATGAAAAAGGCAGAAGTCTTGCAGAGCTGATGCAGTATTTCCTCTATGAATATAGAAAAATTAGTACCCTTGGCTACAGCTTCTCCTCTGCTAATATTCTCCCAACCCTTGTGTACTTAAAATGAAGCTTTGAGTGTTCACTTAGTGCCATGATTGTTTTAAGCACTTGAAAAATGGGAGTAGGGTCTATTACTTTCATATGTGTATTTTTTGCTATCTTATGAGAGAGCAAAGTTTGACTAGCATGAAGCTCTCATAACATTTCTCAAATCCAAGAATAACTTGTTAACTTGGCTTTTGTTTGGGATATCTCTGGATGTTTGTGAAACTTAATTGACTGCAATCATGACTGGGATTTATTTTTTTTTTTAAATGCAGAAGGGTCAACTGTGAGTGTCCAGGCTGTTCCCCATGCTTTGTTATTAGTGTGACTCTCCTCCTGCTAAATGCCACCTGGGTGGGAGGATGGAGCTGACTCCATTCTTGTACCCCTAGCCTTGTTTGCTTAACCTGCCTATTAACCTTCTCTTACCAAAGGCAGAAACCCTTGAGGCAAAGAACTTCCTTCACTACTGTGCTTGTAAAATACTTAGCACAACAGAGCCGCTTTCTAAACACTGCCATAATAATAATAAGTTTTCTGAAGGTGAAACTTGAGTCTGCTGAACAAAGTGCAGGCAACTGATGAGAGGGAACTGGAAGGGAAACATGGAGGCGGAGTACTGTCCATTGGGATTGCTGTGCTGCTGGTTGGGCTCTGCAGCCCCAGCTTGTGTAATGGAAAATGGCAAGCAGCCCTGCCAGCTGAGCTGGAATGCAGGAATTGCGATGGTCTGCAGAGCTCTGCAGCTCGTCTAAACAGCGTGGAAACATTGGAGATTCCTAAAACTCTGAGTCAGAGAGCTTACATCTTCTACTCATTATGGCA